GCCAATTTCTATGGATTTTCTGTACTTGTTTCTATTAAATCTCTATAAAACACCTAAAATTCCCACATTCACATTTTACCTTCCAGCATTCTCAAAATCTCTCTCCACTTCTTTGACAAAAAGTCAAATTAAAAAAGCAATTGGAGGGATTCAAATATCCTATAGCTGGATAACATGAAATATGCTGGACAAAGTAGGTAATGATGTCATACAGCTCCTTCTAGTCCTTGTTAGGACAGCTAATAGCGACTTTTCCCTTTGAAGAGTTGGCAACATTGATCACATTCCAAGAAGGTTTTGACAACTGTGATAGTTACAAACCTCTTGCCACAGAGCTAAACACTGTTTTACACACATCTCTAGGCTGTTGGGAAATGGGTACAGTAGTATCCAGAACTCCTTGACTGTGTTATAATACTGGTAATTGAATGAACTAATCATTCTTCCTTCACAGAGAGTCTTCCTTTACCTGTTAAAACAGCTAGATGGAAAATATAAGTATATTCCTTCTTGGTTATAAGAAAACTTTATAATATGACTCATAATCATAAAATGTTTAAATTGTGGGAGTGTAAGAGTTCAACCAAAGGCAGTTGGGTACTTTGTTTTGCTTTTCTATTGGTTAGGTTTAGGACGAAGGTTTGACTTCAGTTAAGGTTAACAAAACAATTTAATATCAGCAATGTGTCCAAATTACATCATCATATTGAGGACTGGTTGTTGTAAAGTGAGGACATTTCATAGCTATTTCACTAACGTTAGGTTTAGGGCTAAGGTGTCAGGTTAGGGCTAGGTGTACACTGGTAATAGTTGGGTTTAGGGTTGAAAATGACTGAGAATCAATGAAAGTCAACACATGGTTCTTATTGCATATAGCAAATCCCGATGGGTGTATTTGTGTGAGATTGTTTTTCTTTTTGCCTTTCTTGGCACTGTCTTTACTAAAAACCAGAGTAAAATCCAGGTTTAGGATTTACATTTGAAACATTCTACCCCTACCAAAAAAAACAACAAAAAAAACAAAAAAACAATCCACTGGACTTTGCTTTCCAAGTTTGAAGATGCTTTGCTTCCCAGCAAGGAAGCGTTTTCAATTCAAAATATCAGAATGAGCGTTGAGTTCCAAGCTTTATAGAGTAGACCAAAAGAAGCCTTGTTTTAGCTTAGAAAACATGCAATTTGAACTAGAAAACAGGTCTGCCCCTTAGGAATGTGGAGTCATTAAGGTCTTTGTTAGCCTGCAATACCCGATACTGGTTGATGACCCTGAAAGGGGGGACTCATTAGGTGCATTGTTGGCCTGGCTGACCAGGTGAGTGGTCTTGGTCCCCTGCATGGCCATGAGGATTATGATAGTGGGAAGGAATTAACTCTATCGCTGAGTCTTCAAACTTGGAAAACAAAGTCTAGTGGATTGTGGACTATGACCTGGATGACCAACATTCTACACATAGAGATTGGTATTAAGATAAAAAAAGCAGTGACTATAAATTGTCTTGGTTATATATCAATATGATATAATATTTTATTTAATCACTATTATTATTATTATTTTAATAATTTAGTATTACATATTCCAACAGTCTTAGTACTGTGAAAACACATCTATGAACAACCTAGAAAGATATGCAAAGACAAACAAATGTTGTCTTTTAAACAATTAAAGGTATAGTGGAGGAGTTTTAGCTAACTTTTGAAAAGATCCGCCCGCCCTTCTTAAAAATAAGAATGCACATGCACAACCCTGTACCTGGTCAAGAAAGGGAATGCCTATTAAATTCATGCGAGAGCATTTAATAAATGAGGCCATTTGTCTATGCTGGTGAAGATTCTCAATCATTCAGGTCATAGCCATTCCAAAAAAGTTAAAAAACAATCCACAGGACTTGAAGAAGTTTGAAGACATTTCGCTTCACATCCAGGAAACCTTTTCAATTCCAACTTGAAATCCATTTCTCCTTGAGCATGCTTTGTTTAAAAGTTGTTGTTTGCATTGCTCATACAAGCTTACTTTCCAAAAGAAGATTTGCCATTTTTACACTATGTGAAACTCACCACCGGTAAGTGAAAATGTAGAATAATTGAAAATTAGGAGGACCAATTACTTTAATGATCCACACGGAAAAAGAACATCCACCACTATACCTTTAATGAAGCCTAGGTTTGAACTCAATTGGAAAACTTCAAACTGCCAACCAATTAACTCTTCATAGGTTCCTACACCAGCCTATCAGCCCAGCTCTTTGCTCTTACTGTAGTCTGTCATCATTCAAGACTCAAGCATTTAAGTTCTAGATTGACAGTTGCTCTTGCTCTCTAGCTAAAAAGCAAATGCATTTATTGAAGCGCCAGCCTGGCAGTGTGCCCCAATCCCTCTTCTCTCCCAGCCAGAGGGACATTCCCCAGCCCAGGTCTTATTTCTGTTAAGCGCTCCAAACTTCTCTTCTATGAAATATCTTCCCCATTTCTTCCCCCTCCCCTGCTGCAACCAGTACTCTCTCCTCCAGGAAATGGACCTCTAAATCAGCCGATCCACAATCTACACGCCGCAGATAATCACGCATAGTCAAAGACTTTGCAGGCTTGCCTAGGTATGCTTTCATCATTATCCATGCCTTTATAGACATTTTTCACCCTACCTTTCACAGGCTGCCTTTAGCAGCCAACCTCTTTCAGCCTTTCACAGGGAATCACTGTTTGTCCTTGTCTGCACTCAGGCCTTCACGTGTTATTACTGTTTGTTCATATTTTGCCTTCTGCAGGCAGCCTTTCGCAGACAAATTGTATTTGTTCTTGTTTTGCGTACCGCAGGAAGCCTATCACAGGCAGTTCATGTTCCTTTTTGTCTGTTCTTGGAAAGACATTGTCATGATCTTGACACTGATAACTGGATTATTGGTGCATTTCTTCAACCTGCCTAGCTCCACCCATTTTTAATTTTCACTCATCAGATCCACCTGTTCCAGTTCCTATTTAAACTGCTGTGTCCCAGCTATAAGTGCCAGATTATTCAAGCCGTAGGTGAGAGTTTTCTAGCTAATCTGTGTGTTTCTGATTACCTGATCCTGACTTATTTCTGCTCCTGGACTTCTGAGTATGCCTGGCACTGTTATGATCTGTTTTGCCTGACCTGTCTTCGGACTTCTATTGGATTCTGCCTGCTAACGTCCTTGGAACTGCCTTGTGACCCTGGCTTGGATATCCCTTCAGATCTCTGATCTTCTGGCTTCTGCATTGACACCATTGCTGGATTATCCATCCACCATTTCCATTCTGGTCCTCGTTCTGCTCTGCTTTCACTCCTGGAACTCTCTCGGCGGCTTCCTCTACATGCTGTGAAGAACCTTCCGGCTGGATTCTACTCCTTCCTCTGGGCTAAGACTGAACTTAAAAAAACAGGTAAGTAACTTACATGATCACCATCTTCCCATACGCACGTCTACTGCATTCAGCATCACAGTCTTCTGCCGTGGTGTGACCACCAAAGATTGTTATACCTTTGTGTGAATCAAGCTTTTTTACTGTATTGCAGCTTTTCTCTGTGTTAACCTCGCTCGGTTGAAATTAAGCTAATGCATTAATTCTACTTGAAGACTCCTGCTTGCCCAGTAACGCTTCTTCATGTGCTCCTGCTCTAGCCTATCAGTGCACCTCCTAGCTCCAGCTTAACATGATTTAAGACTCAGCATTTAAGGTCCAGGTTGACTGGAGTGTCAGACTCCGGGGGCAAGGTAAGGTGTCTTACAAAACCTATTAATCTGTTTTTGAAGAAATCTGTGGAGTTTAAACCCTTTATATCTGTTGAGTTTTCATTAGGGATGTCCGGATCAGCATTTTAGCCCTCTGATCCCGATCCAATCTTTTAACCTCAAATCTGAATGATTTCGAGTCCCAATCTGATATTTTGCCTTTATAAAATTGATAAAACTCAAAAATATTTTGAGCAAGTAACTCAAAATATTTAAATTTTACACATCAAAGCAAAGTCTTTTGGAAAGTTAGGTTGAGGTTTTGTAGCATTCCTCTCTTGACTAAGACCAAGAAAAAAAAAAACTATTCTATCTATGCATTCTAAAGGATGGATTGATAAGTCTGACTTTATTGGATGCAGTAATTCTTTCATCTTCAAAAAAGCTTGATATAGTTTTTGTGATAGACTTTAAAACAAGCAATGAGAAGTGTAAACATGAAAATAAAAATAAAGGTATCTTAGAAATGCTTCTAAAAAAGGCATTTTATTGGCAAATCAGTTGAAAACAAGCAGGAGAGGATGGTCCAACCTATGAATATTGAGTAAACATTTTTTTTTTTCTCTTTTGGATATTTTGTTATTTCTAAAAACTTGTCATTTTAAATCTCATTGAATACAAAAATTTATTATGGTTTTGCAGGAGCTTACCCAGGTGTATAACACATTAACTCCAACAAGACAGACTGAGAGCAGGTAAATGAAGCAGTGACATGTCATGCATACTTTGCATTCATTGATTATCCACTGGATTAACATGTATTAATCTAAAATGTAGGTAAGCTTTAAAAAAAAAAAATCTACTTGGCAATAAAGGTATGCTTTCATCAGTATTTTTCCAATTAAAGCTAAAGTCTAACATTTTTTTCTTTTCTCTTCATAAGTACTGCATTGTTGTGTAGTAAAAAGTAATCAAAGGGCACATAACTGCTCTGTTTGTTTTTGATAGCTGGTATGTAGCTATTGAAAAGAAGGAATTTTAACGATTCAGTTTTTTCCAGTTGAGGAAAAAATATTTCTCATAAAAAAACAACAAAAAAATTGCTTCTAATTCTTCTTTCAAAGAAGGTCAACTTATCTGAAAAATAGATGGAATCTCAGGCTCTGCCACATAAAAGATGAATGCACTTTGTGAATCCTTCTGTATACTGCATGTCTGCAAATTTGTGGATCTATTCTGAGGTAAGGTAAAATGTCTAAGAGATATTTGTTAGAAATATCACACACAATATATAGATGCTAGAATACTTACACACTGCGTTTTTGTGACTGGAGTCTTTACTGGGCATCATCTTTACGCCTCTGGACTTCAACTCTATGGCTTTTTTCACTAGAGGAAGGTGGAGAGAGAGAGGTTATACAGTTAATTATAAATTATATTCCATTAAACTTTAATTACTGTAGGTCCTCTCCTAAAATACTTTCTTCTCCCCAGGAGGCCATTTACAGCATTGCTCCATGTACAATAATCCAGATATAAAATATGTGTTATATCTAACATACAACATATGTAATGGTGGGAAGAAGCATAACGCATAATTGGAAAAAATGAAAATCAATTTAAATACAGAGAAAAAATAAGAGTAAAAGGTAGAAGGGAGCGTCATTAAAATTAATTCTATCTATTTTATCCTAAGTGGCACTGCTGCAGAGGTTAACAGGAAAAAATAAAGAATAAAATCTGTGTTACAACTACACTATATTCCACTGGGAGACAGGCTGGGCATGAAAAGCACATCTCACTCTCTGTCTTTCTTTGGATCACACACACACATACACAAACATTTTTAAGGAAAACACTGATGGCAAGAGCAGAAGACCAGTGACTGGAGAAGAAGAAGAAAGAGACACATAAAGAGAAAGAGCCCAGAAGTTACACCAGTCACACTAGATGACAGGAAGGATTTAATGTGATGGGGCAGCCAACCAAACCTGACCATGTATGCTAGCATACACCTTTACATGACTCTGCAGCAAAATCATGTGTTTATTTGAAAATAAATGGACAAGGAAGTCCAGTGTTTTAGGAAATATGGCCTTAATTAATGTCCTCAATCTAGTGTAGACTATCAGTGGCCAAATCTACAATATTCAATTCTTCTTAAGGCTTTTTTATGTTAGGCTTAGTTTGTATAATGCCTTGCATTCTATTTAAGCAGACTCAACCAAAAAAGTGCACACTTTTTTGTTTTTTTTTAACTTTATTTTTTTATTTTTAATAACACATGAACACAGTTACAATCTTTTGTCTCCACCGACCTAAGCCACTATATTACACGAGACATCGAAAGGTGAGTCAGTGGGTGTTCTAACACATGTAATAATGCATACATGACAACAGATTGAAATCAACAGGCAGATAACAGTAAAATAAAATAAAATGGTACACAGCACTTGAATGAATCCCCTCCTGAGACAAGACAATCCACACATTCATAGTATTTTCCATCGACCAAAGATATACGCTAATGCAAAAGGGCTATCCTGTAGCTGTGTCACTGAGTTAGTAACGGTATGACAGAGCTCCATCTTGTATTAAAAACTGTTTTTTGAAACCTTAGGGAATATGTTATTCCTTCCATCATGTAAATGTCCCAAACTTTTTGTATCCATATGTTATATGTAGGAGGCTCTGGCTTCAGCCATCTGACAGTTATGCATTTCAATGCTGCTGTAAGCAAGATTCTTAACAGGTATCTATCCCCCTTCCGGTCTATTCCATCGGGTATTTCTCCCAGAATTGCCACCAAGGGAGTTTTTGGGACATTTCTCCTGAAAAATACTTTAAGTGCTTCAAAGATGTCCTCCCAAAATACACTTAGTTTAGGGCAGGACCAAAAGATGTGCGTATGATTTGCAATCTGTGTCCCGCAGTTTCTCCAACATGAACTTGGTTGAGTTGGGCCCATTTCACTGGTTATTGTTGGCGTTCTGAAAAATCGGACTATTACTTTCCATTTGAATTCTCTCCATGTGTTAGAATTTGTTGTTAATTGTGCGTCGGTACACATTTCTTCCCATGTGTCCTCTGTTATTGACTCCTGCAGTTCAGTTTCCCATTTAAGCTTTATGTTTGTGGAATCATGCCCGTTCATAGACAGAAACAGGTTATATATTTTACTAATTACATTGTTATTACCTTTTCCCCTTTGTATGTCCATTAGGAAATTTTCTATGGGTGCAGATTCACGGAGTTTAGTCCAATTATTGTGTGTTGTTACAAAGGTTCTAAGTTGTAGGTATCTATAGAAGTCTGTCTTAGGGAGACCAAATTCACTTTTCATCTGCTCGAAGGTTTTGAAGTTTCCCTCTTTAATTAATTGATGGATATGAGATAGTCCATAATTAGACCAGTTTTTGAACCCGGAATCTAAATTGTTTGGTGTAAATGTCTTTATAAATCCTATATTTGATAAAAGTGAAATCTGCTTTGATAACTTAAAAGCCGATTGTATTGATTTCCAGACTTTAAGGGTATTTTTTGTCCAGGTTGTCATTTCCTTTGCAGGGGTATCTAAGAAAGGTAATGTTTGCAGTGGTACTGAGCATCTGCTTTCCTCTATTTCCAACCAGCGAGTATCTGCACTATTCTGTAGCCATGCTAGTAGGGGTTTAAGTTGTGCAGCCCAGTAGTAATATTTTAAGTTAAAAGTGCACACTTTAAAACAAAATTCAATTCAATTCACTTATTTTGCAGGTAAGGGTAAAATATTTGCTTTGTGGGTGGAATTCGCATAAAGTGTAAAACAGCTTAAACAGTAGGCCCAGAGAGTAAGTAACCCTACTGTATCTACATAAAAAGTAAAAAAGTAAAATGTATTACTACATTATCTGATTTGCTTCAAGATATGTGATCTTTCAGGGGAGAAGAACTCCCTTGAATTCAATTTGAAGGTTTCTAGAAAGTGGTCAGATAGGATAGGGTTGTGAGGAAATACTGTTATTTTCTTTATTATCAATACAATATACAAGAATGAGGTCCAAAGTATGAAGATGCGAATGTGTGGGTCTATGCATATTGTGAACAAAGCAGTTTGAGCCTAAGGCTACATTCACACTGCAGACATACTGTATGTGGCCTAAATAATTTTTTTTTGCCCAGAAGTGACTCAGATAAGATGTTTTAATGTCTCAGACAGGCCAAGTCAAATAGTCTGACTGTTTCACATCTATTCTACGCCACATATGTATGTGGTTTTAAATCAAATTCAGGTCAGATATTTTGGAACATGACTGACAACCAGGTGGCCGATATTGGATTTAGTATGACGTTGTACTAGAAAAAACAATTACAACAAACTTGGAGGACAGCATAGATAGAGTTACAGTGGAGGGACAAAAACATTTTGGAATTCAGTATTTGAGTGGATACACTGATCCAAAAGAAACTTGAGGGGTCATACTCTAATAGGTCAGTTGACAGTGAGGCCGCACCCACACATTTCTCTTTGGAGATGTCCCTGCCACTCCTCCTCCAAAAACCATAATTAATAGTCTAGCTCTCTTTCTTCTCTGTCTCCTTTTCTGCATTGCTTGCTGTATCATCTATTTCCACTTCTTAACAACTTTAAATCCATCCATAGACATTGACTTCTGACATGTTATTGTTCTTCTTTGCCTGCGGATCACTTCTAGTGGTTTTGACATCATGGTTTTGACACCACTTGTTATTGTTTTCTGTGCATGAGGGTTATTTCAGGACCACAATTTAGATAAAATCTGAATTAAGCGTTGATACCTGCAGTGTGAATGTAGTCTCAGATAGCAATAAATGTTGCATTTAAGCCATCACTTATTAATTGGCTCTACACCAATCAATAAATTAGACTGAAATATTGTTGCCATTTCTCCTCACAGAATTTCTGAACATTTAAATAATGAGAGGGAGTTGAATAATTCATGCTTACAAAATTCTCTTGTTAAAACCATGTTTCTGTAAGACCACTTACATCAATATGATTATCTCAAATCAGAACATTATCATAAACTAACAAACATTTTTAGGGTTGGGATATATTTTTTATATGAAGCAAATTTAACCATTTTAGTTTTTTGCTCAGTTGGAGTTGTACTAATTTTAATGAATTTATCATATTTACTCCTTTGAAATTATTTTCTAATTTATCTGATTTTGGCTGTGGAAAAGACATTGTTTGTATGGGATAATGGAGGTAACAGCAGAGAAGATGAAGAGAGGTGTGTTAAACGCTGACTCTGCTTCCTGCCCTGTTTGCAGGATCAAATTGGAGACAGTAACTCAGGGAAAATATTATCTAAAGGAGGTTTTAATGATGATTAAAAGCAAGCATAATAAACTATAGGACAAAGCAAACAATTAGATTAACTTAATCTTATAGTGGTTATGACTGTTGCAGGGAGGGCTAATTAACTATAACAGAAGAGAAACAGCATCATCAGTAAATCAAGGAGAATATTTAGCAGATGTAATAAAAAAATAAAAATGTGTAAAAAAAAAAAGTAAAAAAAACTCGAAAACTGTCAAAAATGACTATCCAAAAAAATCATAGAAAATAAAGCCAGAAAAGCAAGACCTAAAAAAATGAATAACAAAAGCATTGTCAATATATGTACTCAAATGAAAAGTAAAAAAAAAAATAATAATTACAGTAAAAAAACAAAAAGGCATTTTGTTAATAAAAAAGTTACATATTTGTTGTTGAAAAATAAAATATTATTGTAGATGGCTTGAGGTCCAGTGCTTACTTATAGCTTCTTGTATAGTCGAGTAAAAATAAGACTGTGTGTTTATTTAGTCTTTTTTTATTTCAGATATTTTGTATACTGTGTTTTTCCAAACCAAAAGCTCATCAGATCTAATTCTACTTTTGGATTCTTTAAATAGTAATTGAAACTAATTTTAATAAATATTTAAAACACTTTTTAAAAATATACTCATGTAATGTCACAAGAGAATATTTCTAATACTATTTCTGAAAATATTTTGTATTAAATTCTAAAATCTAGGCATGTTTTTAGAAAAAAAAACAGCAACAATAAATTAAAAATAGCTTCCTCCTTGGACCATCACCTTAACATAGAGGAGGAGTTTGAGTGCCTTGATGGGGCTTGTGATGTGTCGCAAGGCAAACAGACCCTGGGTAGCAGGTCAGAATAAGAGAGGTTCAAAAGCCCTTATGAAGACTATAAAAACTTAGACGAAGATGAAAAAGAAACTGAAAACTAAAAAGAAGGCTGAAAATCATCACACTGAAAACAACAGCTATTCTCAGCTGTGTTAGAAGATGTGAGTGAACACAATGGTAATTCAGAATATAAGATAAAGTGAAGACATCATATTCATATTGCCTTATAACCTAACTGCAATCATCTCTTTTTTTAGATCTGAAGTGAATTCTTTTGTTAGAGATTGATATAGAAAATGTTTACTTTGACCTCGGTTAGATGTAAGATGGCCGGTGAATAAACTGTGAATTCTGTCTTTAGAATTATATTGCCTTCTGGTATGGAAAATATGATATTAAATGTTAGCTGTGCATGCAGGTCTTTGGAAGGGCTCGATGAATTCTAAGAGGGTGTTTCCTTTCATGTAAGTACAGTAGGAGTGAAATCATGACATCGGTCATTGCTGTTTACCAGAGTAGTGGTCAGCCCAGCCTAAATGGTAAATGATCCTCTGTAATCTGTGCTTATATTAATGTTACATTTATACAATTTCCCAACTATAGAAAGACAACAAAGCAAAAACATACCTTGATACTGAGCACTGAACCCTTTTCTTCTATGGTTGCTGTCTGAAGTGAAGTGTATCCGAAGCCAATTTTTATTTGATATCACTGGTGATGGTGAGGTTGTACCTGTGAGCCTGCAGAAAAGAGCACATATAATCAGACATTATATAAAAACAAAAAAATAAAAAAACAAAGCAAAACCTATTGTGTTTTAAAACAATATGAACTTAGATATATGTTATTAATAACTCATCACTATGTAGAAAAAAGACTATTTTGTAAAATAGTATTACTTTACCCAATAAGCACCTGTATGCAGAACACAAAGAGAGGACAAAACACTTACAGAGCGAGACTAAAGCTGTTTCGTTGGATCCATTTTCAGACAACAAATCACAGCCTTATATCACGTATGTAAAATATAGCAATAAGTCTTTGTAATGTAAAATATTTCTGCATTTTTATTTAGTGGCGAATATAACGCAGACAATTTGTCAAAAAAATAAACTCAATGAAGGTAGGGGTGAGAGCAAAGAGGTTGGTTTTGAATAACAAAAACATCATGATATATTTCAGCTTTAGGTCCAACAAATGCACACTGACTGCTGGAAAGTGGTTGGAGGGAAGAAAAGCCATCTAATTACAGATTGCAGCATTATAGATCGAAAAAGGATCGACCACTGCTGTGAAAAATGTTTTCAATATGTATGCTTCACAAACAGCAGGAGACCAAGTAATCATGATGTAGGACAGAAATGGGAATTCTGTCAGATGAGGATCTTTATCTATCCATAACCATCTTTGTATCAAAAGTGCACAAAACTCTACTAGACATTTTTATGAAAAATGCTGGTAAACCATTAAAAAGATTTTTCTGCTTTAATTTTGACATATCTATATTACATTTAAAATTAAAAAAAGAAAAGTGAAAATTTTAAATCAGCAAACAGTTTTTAGCATAATTTTGTACATCCTTATTTAGTTTTGTTCCATTTTGATCCAGTTTTAAAATGTATTTCTGATGGATATATTTCATTTTTCTGGGCTCTTCAATAAACACACAGGTATTTGAAGAGAACGGGCTTTTTCTATAAAACTTGTACACTCATATTACAGGTGTACACAACTGTGTTCATACTACCTACTAGGCTTTTATTTAAAGCACTTAGATTTATTTGGTTATTTTGTACACACAAGTGTAGAACAAAAATTAATTTTGTTTAGAACAGCTCTCTAGACAATTTCATTTTCTAAAGTGCATCATTGATAAGGTGAGCAGCAGTTGTTGTTGAGCCACTACTGCCTCCAGCTCCTGAAGCACTTGCTTCTCCTGGCTAAGGGGAGGAAGAGGACGATGACGACGATGCCGGAGGGGGCCGGGAGGAGCCGGCTGAGGATCTTTCAGCATTTGACAGGGAAGCATCTAGAGTGCTCTCCTAATTTTCACCTGCAGAGGGCCGTGTTTCTCCTCTAGATGCCAAAGATTGCCTGGGAACAGTCTCAGAGAAGCCTCCATCCACGCAGAGCTCTTTGTCTCTATTGGCATGGCACAGCATCAGGCCCCCAAGGCCAATAGCACCACCCGGTACTGCTGGACACAGCCAAGACACCGTCAGAATGATGGTGCAGGAGCCACATATCTCCTCCTCCAAAAAGAGTTTGAATCGGAGATTATCTACCCCGTTTGGAGACCTTGGAGAGCAGGATTGATGTTAGCAGCGGTCTATGGGGACTTCTCTCATCCTTTGCAGCCTTGCTTTCTCCGTCTCGCACATCTCCTCCTCCGTCCATTATTTTCCGCCGTTGTCCTGCACTCGGCAGCCCTTAAAAACGGTTAAAAATGTCAGCATTTCAAAAAATTTTGTGACCGCAGCTCCAGCAGGTGTTGTGATCATAGATGCAGGCTTGATGTCTAGTTTGTATCATTTTAAGAGGCATATTTTTGACTTCTTTTTCTGTGAAGACCTCATTTGGCACCAAGTGTCTTGCAAAGTTGGATTTAATGGCTGTTATTACTGCCTCTGAATACAATGAATAATAATCCGTGAAGACAAAGTAGTCTCTTCCAGCACATTCAAACAGGTCAGCACCTTTGATTGGTTCAGCTGGATTGCTTGAATGATATCTCACTTGTTTCATATCACTTCATTTGCGATGTCTTGATTTATCCGTGACTAGTACATCACATTGCAAGCTCTTTTACTACACTGTTCAATTCCAAGATGCCCTGCATGAATCTTCTTGAGCATGTCAGGTCATAGACTCTTTGGAATGACAATCTTGCTGCCCTTGTAGATGATGTCATAGACTATGGACAACTCTGCTCTGCAATTCCAGTATTCTGTGATATCGTGTGAACAATCTTGCTTTGTGTTGGGCCATCCATCTTTAATGATTTCACGTAATCTTTTCAATGTTTGATCTTTGTTTGTCTCTGTCTTTATCAGTTCCATCTTGACATCAGAAACAGGTAAGGCACTTGTGAGCATGTCCAGATAAGCATTCACATCATCATTTATGTTACTGCTCACCAGTTTCTTTGGGTCAACTGCTCTTGACAAGGTGTCGGCTGTGTACATCAGCTTGCCTGGAGTATAAGTCACTGTCAATGAGTAACGAATCATCATTCTCTGGATTCTCTGTGGACAGTCATTGAGTGTTTTTTTTTTTTTTAAACCATTTTTTTCAACACTTATTTCCTGTCCTGACATGAACTGGTGAAATCTCCCGCATGCATAAGTTATGCCTAACAGTTCTCAATTTGTGCATAACGCGTCTCTGCATCTGTCATTGAGCGTGATGCATATGCAGTGGGTTGCCATTCATCGTACAGCTGTAGAAGAACAGCTCCTAGTCCACTTTGTGATGCATCGGATAAGATCTTGATGGGCTTAGCTGGATCATAGAATCTCAGTACCGTTTCAAGCGTAAGCTGTGTCTCCAGGTCTTTCCATGCTTTTCCATGTTCATGTATCCACGTCAATTCTGTTTTGTTTTCGGTTAGTTGTCTCAACGGTGCCATGCTTTCAGAGATATTAGGTATAAACTTTCCCATGTAGTTTACCATTCCATTAGATCTCTTCACATTTTTCTTGCATTGTGGCCTTGGCATATTTTCTATTGATGTCACTTATCTCGGATCAGGTCTAACTCCCTCACTGCTCAGTTTATCTCCAACAAATGTCATTTCTTTCATGCCTAGCTGGCATTTCTCTTTGTTCAAGTTCTGGTTTGCTTTTCTTGTCGCTTCTAGAACACTTTTCAGCCTCTGGTCATGCTCAACTTTTGTACTTCCCCATACAATTATGTCATCCCTGGAGGTGTCTACACCTTACAAGTGCTCATAGATCATATGAATTGTCTTATGATGCACATCAGGCACTGAGGCTATGCCAAATGGTAATCTCAAAATTGGTATCTGCCAAAAGGACTGTTAAATGTGCAAAATTTTGAGCATGTACTGTCCAATTTGAGTTGCCAAAATCCATAAGACGCATCTAACTTGCTAAAGTATTTTCTATTAGCGAATTGTGACATTATTATTTCTCTTGTTGGTAATTTAAAATTTCCACACTTTATAGCTCTGTTCAAATTTCTTGGTTCCATACACACTCTAGGCTTACCTTTCTTTTTATCCACAATGACCAGAGAACTCACCCAGTCAGTTGGTCCGTCAAATCTCTCAATCACTCCCAGCCTTTCCATTATATCCAATTCATCTTTCATGGGCTTTTGAAGAGAAAATGGCACTTTTCTGCATAGATTGATGACTGGTGGCACTGTCTTGTCAACTTGGATTGTGTGCTCTGCAGGAAGGCAGCCTAAACCCTGAAACAGATCCTTGTAATCTTCCATCAGCTCATCATACTGTGTATCTGCATTTTCCTTTGTGTGTCACTTTGACCTTGCATTTTCCTTCAACAGATATTGGTGCTTCGGATTTTCCACTCACTTTTACTTTTGTTGCATGTAATTTTCATCTTGGTCTGATTTTGTTAAACCCAGTCTCTGAAATCACATTTGCTTCACAATGTTTGTGTCATTCACTTTTAAGTGCATCATCCAATCTTATTTGTCCGTGTTTTCTTCTGTTACAAAATCCACATAGAATTCCTCAGAGTCATTCTCATTCACTGTATGCAGTATGCTCTGTAGTGCCTGACTGTTGCACTGCCTTGCATACTGTTTTTTTTGTTGTTGCAATTATTACACATTTTACCATATGCGGGCCATTTCTTGGGAGGATACTGTGTGCCACATCGACTGCATGCCTTTCTTTGCACGTCTCTGTGCGCTGGTTTTGTTTCACTGTTGACATCGGGAGCGCCGCTTTTCTTCCTGACTTCTCCTCGTTCCTCTCTCCTCACTGCATTGACGTTGCAACTAGCACCGACCAGTGCTTTTGCTTACATTCTGTATGCTTTGCAGTGTGTCAGTGCTCTCTCTAAATAAAATTTTTCCTCTTTCAGTAGCCTTTCTCGTACACTGTTATCTGGAATTCCACAAACAAGCCTGTCTTTTATCAACTCGTCTGTGAATCCTCCAAATTCACATGTCTTGCTTCTGTTCCTCAGTTCAGTTACATACTGATCAATGGTCTATCCCGTTTTCTGAACCCATGTAAAGAATCTGTGCCTTTCAAAAATGACGTTTATTTTTGGAATACAGTAATCATCAAACTTCTCTATTATTTTGTCCAAATTGATTTTGTCACCGTCAGCGCCAAACTGAAAGGTGTTATACACTTCTAGCGCTTCTTTGCTCACTACATGTAGGAACACTGATGCTTTCACTTTTGCAGGTTTATCGTCGCCACTGATACATTCAATTAAAAGTGTTGTTTAAACTTCCTCCAGTTTTACGCCACATTACCTGTCAGCTGCAGATTGGGTGGTGGTTGTAGCGCATGCATCTTTGGATTTGTTATGCTCTTTTTCTCTCGTGGAAAACAGGTTAACAATCCTCGGTTGACTTAACTAGCTATGTTCTCTCCGGACTAGCATCAGACGTTTTCAGTCAATCCTCTACAATTCGCTGTTAATGTCCAAGTTTCTCCTCAACTCCATCTTCTGACATCGTGTTTCATTTGTGTTGTGGGCTCTTCAGTAAGCAAATGGGTACTTGAAGAGAACAG